GTATGTATGTGTGTATATGTGTATGTATACATGTGTGTTACATTTACAACATATACTGTAATGATTTACATACATTTGCTTTCACATCCCTAAACCCAGTGGTCTCTCAGCCTCCAGATGGCTTTCAAACAATCCAGTCCAAAGCAGTGCTCACACAAAGCAGTGCAATGAAATAAAATAGTTTACTATGTGCAATCTGACAGATGAGTTTCCATAAAGCTCTCAAATCTTATTTGCTGGAAGGGGCAAAGCCAGCCACATAATATGAGACCTTGCTGTCAACATCTCTCAGTAAAAATACTATTTTTTCGATGCTGGGCTTTCCACCAAAATGATACAGAGTTTACCTTTAGCTGCTTCTTTAAAAGATTTATACCTTGATTTCCTAGGAAGTTTCATGTTGTTTATCCCCATCCCTTGGCCCTGCCTCTTCCCTTCCATAACCACTCAACTGGACTTTCTGCAGTATCAAACTAGTTCTTTTCTCCTTATTTTATCTTGCTCAAATACATCCTACACAGATTCAGACCTTGCCAAAATATCGCACAATAAACAGGCCATAAATTAGCACCTGGCAGGTAACAACAAAGTGCAAACATTTCTATTTATTATTCTTTAAAAAAAACTATGATTTCTCTCCTCTCCTGTTTCAGTGAGCCTCTAAGCCTCTCCAGATACTGCACAGAAGGAATGAAAAGGACACTGATTCAGCTGATAACATTATAGCAACTTTAACTAAAACAAAAACATCCTTAAAAATAGTAGTATTTTAGAGCATCTGAAATCTGTAAGTGACAGAACTTGCAAATGCAATATAGGTTGGGTATCCTTTATCAGAAATACTTGGGATCAAAGGTGTTTTGGATGTTGTTGTATAATTATTATTTTGGAATACCTGTATTTGCATATATGTGCAAAATGAGATATTGTGGAATTGAGAAACAACTACCTTTGGGCTGTGTGTATAAGGTGTAAATTGCTTCATTTACACCTTATATACACAGCCCAAAGATAATTTTATACAATATTTATAATAATCTTGTGCATGAAACCAAGTTTGCATAAGTTGAACTCCCAGAAATTTTAGGAGCCACTTTCTCAACCACCCAATTTTGGAAAAGTAGCACTCAATTTGTAATTGTCATCTTCTGTTTGGTATCCATTGTGGACTAAAAACTAATAACAGTCAGAGAACACGATCTCAGTTTACAGATGCCTAGTCTCCAACTTTGCTATCATTAGACTATGCACAAATTTGAACAGTGCTATTATGAAAACATGGCACAACGCTATTTCACCATGGTATAAAATAGCATAACAGAAATATATATGCCAAAAGCATATTACTAGGTTGTACTGGTAGTATAAGCCGAATCCCAGCTCTATTTAGAAACCAAACCAGTCTTTCGAGAAAACTACCTTTGCTAGGACAAACTCTGAGGGACTTATATCCAAGTGCACATGTATAAGTCTGAGAGTATCATCCATTGATATAATAATAATAATAATAATAATAATAATAATAATAATAATAATAAATATTAGAGGCATAATACCAAATACTATCTGTCTATGACAAAAAACTGTTGGGTTCATAAGCCTGAAAAAGTCACAGAACATGAACCCATCAAACTACTCTGGGACTTCTGAATTCAGACTGACAGAATTTTGAAGCACAAGACTACTGACCTCATGATCGTGGAAAAAAACAAAGTACGGATTGTCAATGTTGCAATCCCAGGCGACAGCAGGATTGACAAGAAGCAACTGGAAAAGCTGACACAATACAAGAATTTAAAAATCGAACTGCAAAGACTCTGGCACTGGCCAGTCAAGGTGGTCCCAGTGGTGATCGGCACACTGGGTGCAGTGCCTAAAAACCTTGGTCAGCACTTGAAAACAATCAGCGCTGACAAAATTACCATCTGTCAGTTGCAAAAGGCCACCCTACTTGGATCTGCCCACATTATTTGACGATATATCACACAGTCCTAGACACTTGGGAAGTGTGATCCAATACAAAAGCCAGCATAGCGATCTTGTGTACTAATCTTCTTTGTTGTGCAAATAATAATAATAATAATAATAATAATAATAGTTTCTTGACAAAATTAAAGGAAAAGTTGACAGGGAGAAGACCTGGTTATGGCTCACGAATGGAACACTGAAGAAGGAGACAGAAGGCCTGATTCTTGCAGCCCAGGAGCAAGCCATCAGAACCAATGCAATTAAGGCCAGGAACAAAAAATCAGCTGATGACCCAAAATGCAGATTCTGCAAGGAAGCCGATGAAACCATGGATCATATCCTCAGCTGTTGAAAGAAAATTGCACAAACGGACTACAGAAAGAGGCACAACTCTGTGGCCCAAATGATTCATTAGAACTTATGTCACAGGTATCACCTGCCAGTAGTAAAGAATTGGTGAGATCATAAACCTGCAAAGGTCGTGCAAAATAAACACACAAAAATACTGTGGGCCTTTTGAATTCAGAATGACAAAGTTTTGGAACACATTATATACCAGACAACACGGTTGTGGGGGGAAAAAAAGTTTGATGTCGCCATACCAGATGACAGCTGAATTGACAAAAAACAACAGGAAAAACTCAGCCGTTATCAAGACCTCAAAATTGAACTGCAAAGGCTCTGGCATAAACCGGTACAGGTGGTCCCAGTGGTCATTGGCACACTGGGTGCCGTGCCAAAAGATCTCAGCCGGCATTTGGAAACAATAAACATCGACAAAATCACGATCTGTCAACTGCAAAAGGCCACCTTACTTGGATCTGCGCACATCATTTGAAAATACATCACACAGTCCTAGGCGCTTGGGAAGTGTTCGACTTGTGATTTTGTGATATGAAATTCAGCATATAGATCTCATTTGCTGTGACATACTGTGTTTTTGTGTCAGTAAAATAATAATAATAATAATAATAATAATAAATTAAATAATTATCTGTCTCTCCTGCTGAGAGAATAAATACAGGATAAGAAAAATGTTTCACTTGTCGTATTTTTTCAAACATTTCACATGTATCTGGGTGTTCTTTTTAAATCAAAAGGGAAAATCACACAGACTTCCATCTGACATTGGAATGTACATCCCATTACCTTTGCTAATGATGAAGAATGCTGGGAGTTGTAGTCCAACAATATGTGGACTGCACCTAATCATCGCCTATATTTAATGTACTGAGCTCTAATGAAGCCTACCTGGTGAATATGCTGAAGTACAGCTCCTATGATCTCATAATCTGCTTTTATCATGGGATTATGAGAACTATCATCCAAAATATCTAGGGAGTTAACATACAACACAGAAATTTTGAGGTCTACATTGCCATATAATGCAGCTTGAAACGGCATTACATAGTCAGTGTTGATTTGTCTAATGCAGTTTAACTGTACTGAACTTATTGTGAATCTACACCAGGCATGGGCAAACTTCGGCCCTCCTGGTGTTTTGGACTTCAACTCCCTACCGGCTGTTAGGAATTGTGGGAGTTGAAGTCCAAAACGCCAGGAGGGCCAAAGTTTGCCAATGCCTGATCTATACTGTCCATATAATGAGGTTTCAAATTGCGTTATATGGCAGTGCAGCTCCAGCCTATGTTTATGCTGGAAAAAGCCACACCAGTGAAAACTAGCACAAAGTACGCAGCTGACTTCCAAACATTTAACATGTAAGATACTAAACTGGGGTCTAATCTGAGTTTCCAATGTATCCATCCTAGTCCATCCTAGCGTTTATTTCAATCCTGACCTATTTTAGGGTGTATGATTTAATTGGAGCTACCCCTCAATTCTGCCTTGGTCAGACAACTCCAGGAATACTGTGTCTAATTCTGGGCACCACAATTGATGAGAGATGTTGACAAGCTGGAATGTGTCCAGAGGGGGGTGACTAAAATGATTAGGGTTTGGAGAACAAGCCCTGTGAGGAGGGGCTTAAAGAGCTGGGCATGTTTAGCCTGCAGAAGAGAAGGCTGAGAGGAGACATAATGAGGGCCATGTATAAATATGTGAAAGAAAGTCATAGGAAGGAGGGATCAAACTTGTTTTCTGCTGCCCTGGAGACTAGGACGCGGAACTTCAACAAGAAAGGAGAGTCCACTTGAACATTAGGAAGAACTTCCTAACTGTGAGAGCTGTTCAGTGGTGGAACTCTCTGCTCTGGAGTGTGGTGGAGGCTCCTTCTTTGGAGGCTTTTAAACAGAGATTGGATGGCCATCTGTCGGGGTGATCGTAATATGGTTTTCCTGCTTCTTGGCAGGAGGTTGGACTGGATGGCCTACGAGATCTCTTCCAACTCTACAATTCTATAGTTTATATCCCACCTTTCCCACAGTGGTTGGAATAAATAGTGACTTACAAAATAATCTTTAATTTTGTCAATTCAAAAGAGAGATTGTGTCTATTATATTACAATATTAAACTTAGAGCGAGGGTGGTGTAGCACTTTGAGTATTGGAACTACAGTTTTGGAGACCTGGGTTTGAATTGCGGCCTCAGCCATGGAAGCTCCATTGGCTAATTTTGAGTAAGCCACACTCTCTCAGCCTCAAAGGAAAGCAAAGGCAAACCTGCTCTGAAAATAACCTTGCCATGATGGGCTTGACATAAATTGGAAACGAATCAAAAGCACACGACCACAACTATCAAATTATTATAAAACTCAAAAATCATTTTTAATCCCTAAACTGAAAGTAAATCAGTAAGAAACTATTTCAAAACTTTTAGCACATGGTATCACTATGAAGTTCCCCCTTAAGAATTCCAAGTATCAGAGCCTGGATCTTTGTGAAAACTAGAGATGGCCTTTCACTGCCTCTGATCATAACACTAGTAAAAAAAAACCTCCTAAAGCAGGAAGCAATACTCTGCACATGCTCAGAGGCACCCTCAGTGTTAGGTTGCTTCTCATATCAAACAAGCCTGCAGCCGGCTATCCTAGGTATATATCCAGTAACGTGTGTATGGCCCTACACGTGTACCCTTGGGACGAAGTTCTCCTTCCGCCTGTCTTCTGCAATTCCGCCTCCAATTGGCCAGGTCTGGACTTTCTCTTCCTGACTTAGAAAGTAGCCGCCACCCCCCCCCCCCCGATTTAGCTCAAATGGACTCGCCCACTGGAAAACAGGCAGATCCTATCCTTAGGGAGGAGCTTTTTGCGGACGCAACCAATTCTGGAAGGGGGCGATAGTCCTAGGCAGAGGCGGGGCTTGGAAAGGCAGCATGTTGAAGTTGTCCTTCTCTGCCTACTTAATTTGCCTTAAAGGGAAGGAGCGGGTCTTAACCTCACATAGAGGATAAAGAAGAATACATTCATATTTCAAAAAGTAAACTTTAGGGTTGAGTTTACACTGAGACCTCTTCTAGAAGAATTGGTTTATAATCAGTTGGAATAGGTAATACTGAACTTGAACTTTGCTGTGATTTTTCTGGGCTGTATGGACATGTTCCAGCAGCATTCTCTCCTGACATTTCGCCCACATCTATGGCAGGTATCCTCAGAGGTTGTGAGGTCTGCTGGAAACTAGGAAAGTGGGGTTTATATATCTGTGGAATGTCCGGGGTGGGAGAAAGAACTCTTGTCTGTTGGAGGAAAGTGTGAATGTTGCAATTGGCCACCTTGATTAGCATTGGATGGCCTTGCAGCTTCAAAGTCCGGCTGCTTCCCGCCTGGGGGAATTCTTTGTTGGGAAGTGTTAGCTGGCCCAGATTGTTTCCTGTCAGCTTTCCTTCTTTTTTATATATATGAGGCAGCTTTCATAGGGAATGCACTTTGTATATGCTCAGAGACATGTTTTTCCACATTTTTAAAATTACATTTTTATTATATTATTAGAAATTATATTATTATTATAGATATTATTATATTTATTTATATCCTGCTTTCCTCTCTTAAGCAGAATCGAAATAAATATGTGTCTGATAGACCACGCTAAAGCTAATTCACATTACACACTTACTGCACTGTTGTATGCCTTCAAGTCATTTTTTTTCAAAATATTTTAATTAAAAATGAACTGAAAAAAAAAAACCCTCTCTTCCTTTTTGGAAACAGGCACCAAATCCTTCTACCAAAAGCCTGCCTCCACTGTGATTGGCTGGCTTCTCAGCCAAGGGGAGAACTGTTTCTCCACCAGTGTTCACATTTGGGCATATTGAGTATTTGTGCCAAGTTTGGTCCAGTTCTATTATTGCTTGAGTCCACAGTGCTCTCTGGATGTAGGTATACTACAACTCCCAAACTCAAGGTCAGTGCCCACCAAACCCTTCCAGTATTTTCTGTTGGTCACAGGAGTTCTGTGTGCCAAGTTTGGTTCAGTTGGTGGAGTTCAGAATGCTCTTTGTAGGTTAACTATAAATCCTGGCAACTACAACTCCCAAATGACAAAATCAATACCGCAACAACGCCATCAGTTTGAGCAAATTGGGTATTTGTGCCAAATTTGGTCCAGTGAATGAAAATTCATCCTGCATATCAGATATTTACATTACAATTCATAACAGGAGCAAAATTACAGTTATGAAGTAGCAATGAAAATAGTTTTATGGTTGGGGCTCACCAAAACATGAGTGGTTGCGGCATTAGGAAGGTTGAGAAACACTGCCTTAGGAGCAGACATATCTAGGGATTTGTTGTTCATTTGTTCAGTCACTTCCGACTCTTCGTGACCTCATGGACCAGCCCACACCAGAGCTCCCTGTCAGCCGTCACCACCCCAGCTCCTTCAGAGTCAAGCCAGTCACTTCAAGGATACCATCCATCCATCTTGCCCTTGGTCGGCCCCTCTTCCTTTTTCCTTCCATTTTCCCCAGCATCATTGTTTTATCTAAGCCAGTGGTTCTCAATCTTCCTAATGCCGTGACCCCTTAATACAGTTCCTCATGTTGTGGTGACCCCGGTCATAAAATTTTCATTACTACTTCATAACTGTAATTTTGCTATTGTTATGAATCGTAATGTAAATATTTGATATGCAGGCTGTATTTCCACTCTCTGGACCAAATTTGGCACAGGTACCTGATATGCCCAAATTTGATTTTGTCATTTGGGAGTTGCAGTTGCTGGGATTTATAGTTCACCTACAATCAAAGAGCATTCTGAACTCCACCAATGATGGAATTGAACCAAACTTGGCACACAGAACTCCCATGACCAATAGAAATTACTGGAAGGGTTCAGTGGGCTTTGACCTTGAGTTTGGGAGTTGTAGTTCACCTACATCCAGAGAGCACTGTGGATTCAGACAATGATGGATCTGGACCAAACTTGGCATGAATACTCAATATGCCCAAATGTGAACACTGGTGGAGTTTGGGGAAAATAGACCTTGACATTTGGGAGTTGTAGTTGCTGGGATTTATAGTTCACCTACAATCAAAGAGCATTCTGAACCCTGCCAATGACTGAATTGGGCCAAACTTCCCACACAGAACCTCCATGACCAACAGAAAATACTGTGTTTTCTGGTGGTCTTTGGTGACCCCTCTGACACCCCCTTGCGACCCTCCCAGGGGTCCCGACCCCCAGGTTGAGAAACACTGCTCTAAGCTTTCCTGTCTTCTCATGATGTGGCCAAAATACTTCATCTAGGGATAGTTGATGCCAAAAACACTAAAAGCAGAACTTTGTAGTTTTGCTCTATGGGCAAAGTTTTATGTGGGACTAGAAAGGCCTCTAACAGGTGACTTCCTATCACTCTTGACTATTCGGATCAAGCGAAGTCAGCTTTGCCATTAACTTCAGTGGAATATATGCCTTTGTTTATGCTCATGTGCTTTCTCCCTCCCCGCTGAATTGAAAGAGACAGAACATCAATTTTAATTTCATTAATCTGCAATTACAGAGTGCAAAGAGGTGGTCTAATGTCATCTTGGGGAAAAATAATAGTTTCCTGGTTGGCACCTAAACAAAACCACCTCGTTTGTATAAGGTCCATTTCCATTTAGATGACCTTTCATCCTAGTGCTGTTTTTTATATTATTATTTTATTTTTGTGGGTGAACTGGTCGTTTTTCAGAATACCTTATTACAATCCCGACTACATTTCTGTCATAAATATGATTAATCTCAGGCAGTAATTCAAACCCTTGTGTTTTGGGAGAACATACCAACAGAAAATTGAATAAAATGGAGATTTGCTCTACAAGAATGCTATAAATCAGTAACAAACCAAACAAATTCTAATTGGGTCAATATTACCAATTTTGCCATGAGTTTTGCCATGAGTTTTAAGCTGTTGTTGTTACTATTGTTTTAAGGATAGGCTCATTTGAAAAATGGCTCAGTGGAAGTAAAAATGAACTACTACTGTGATGTACTATGTTTTTAAAAGCCCTAAATTGGGGGGAAATGGCACACTGAAATTCAATCTACATCACCATTATACTGTCATCAGTGAGATTGGGGTTAGTTGGTAATCAGATTATTTTTATGGAGCCTCTGCCAGTCCATTCAGGAACAGAATCAGACCAATGTGTTTGGATGTGGATCCCACTGAAATAAAACCAAATTGCCACTTATTCAGCCTTCCTTTCCCACTTTTGTGGAATGAAAAAGCGTTTGGCAGATAGATCCTCTTGCAATAAGATTTATTGTGTTTGCTTTAAAAAGGAAATTGCTGAGCTTTGTACTACAGGTCTCTTCCTGTTTCTTCCTGATTGGAATCGCAACTGGGACAGATGGTATTTCAGCTTCATCATTAACTTGGGCCTTGCTTTACGCCTGTGAGACATGGACTATCTACAGAAGTCACATGCAACTCCTGGAACGATTCCATCAGCGTTGCCTCTGAAAAATCCTGCAAATCTCTTAGGAAGACAAGCGGACAAATGTCAGCGTGCTGGAAGAAGCAAAGACCACCAGCATTGAAGTGATGCTCCTCCGCCATCAACTCTGCTGGACTGGCCAAGTTGTCCGGATGTACGACCACAGTCTCCCAAAGTTGTTGCTCTACTCTGAACTCAAGAATGGAAAACGGGATGTTGGTGGGCAGAAAAAGATTTAAAGATGGGCTCAAAGGCAACCTTAAAAACTCTGGCATAGACACTGAGAACTGGGAAGCCCTGGTCCGCTTTCCACCTGGAAACCAATGCCCTCACTGCAGGAGAAGATGCAGATGAAGAATAGTCACCTACGGACTGCCAGTACACCGACTTGGAAGACAATCCTACTCAGACAACGAGGGGTCACCTAAGTAAGGACCTTGCTTTGCATTTCTTACTGGCTTAAGCTTCAGCGACCAAAACAGCTAATGCAGCCTTTCTTAGGGCCCTTCCAGACAAGTCCTATATCCCAGGTTGTCCATTTATCCCAGATTATCTGGCAGTGCGGACTCATATAATCCAGTTCAAAGCAGAAAACCTGGGATCAGATCCTGGGATATAGGTCCTGTCTGGAAGGGCCCTTAGAATGATAGGGTTGGAAGAAACCACAAGGTTCTGCCAGTCCAACCCCATCATGCAGCATATTCCACTCCTAAACAGCTTTTACTTCCAGGAAGTTCTTGCAAATGTTTGGGTGGAATCTTTTGCTACAATTTGAATCTATTGTTCTGTATCCTAGTCTCCTGAGCAGTAGAAAACAAGCTTGCCTCCTCCTCAATGTGACATCTTTTCAAGTATATAAACATGACTATCCACTGTCAGGGCCCTGCCACAGAGTCATATATGTTGGAAATACAGCTACTCAGATATCGGAAATGGGATCCCAGCTTTTCTGGATATGAAAAAGATATTGTTCCTGGCCCTTGATACAGATCCAGAAGTTGCACATTAGGGAAGTAAAATATGTAATAAGCAAATCCTAGGAGTTTAGAGGTTTTAAATGGAGGCAAAGCCAAGTTAGGATCTCTCAGAGCCTGGAAAAGTTACTTTTTCCATACCAGAGCTCCCAGAGTTGCACAGAAACCTGTGGGTGGCCATGCTGGATGTGGATTCTGGGAGTTGTCATCCAAAAAAGTATCTTACCAAGTTGAGATGGCTCCAAGCACCCTTGACCTCATTCTTTTCTCTCAAAAAGAAAACAAAAGATGGCTCTTCCATTAAACCGATAAAAAGGAAACACCTATTG